TGTGATCCACCGCGCGGCCCAGGGGAGCCGCTGTGATCCACGGCGCGGCCCAGGGGAGCCGCTGTGATCCACCGCGCGGCCCAGGGGAGCCGTTGTGATCCACCGCGCGGCCCAGGGGAGCCGTTGTGATCCACCGCGCGGCCCAGGGGAGCCCCCGCTTGCCCTAAGGGTAGATAGGTGTTGCATTCTGCTACATAGATGGGTAGGTGGACACTAACCCAAAGGACCGGTCATCTCTCATTACCCATGAACAGCAGAGAGAAGAGGACCTGTCATCTCTGGTAACCCTGATAACGGCAGAGAGAAGAGGACCTGTCATCTCTTACGACCCCGATGACGGCAGAGAGAAGAGGACCTGTCATCTATGACGGCAGAGAGAAGGGGACCTGTCATCTATGACGGCAGAGAGAAGAGGACCTGTCGTCTCTTACGACCCCGATGGCGGCAGAGAGAAGAGGACCTGTCATCTCTGATGACCCCGATGACGGCAGAGAGAAGAGGACCTGTCATCTCTTATGACCCCGATGACGGCAGAGAGAAGAGGACCTGTCGTCTCTTACGACCCCGGTGGCGGCAGAGAGAAGAGGACCTGTCATCTCTAATGCCCCCGATGACGGCAGAGAGAAGAGGACCTGTCATCTCTGATGACCCCGATGACGGCAGAGAGAAGAGGACCTGTCGTCTCTTTTCCTGATCTTCTGCTAATGGTCACTTACCTTTTTATGTGTGGCCATCCTGCTCTACACTGGCTAAAAGAAGAGGACCTGTCACGTGCCCCACCTATTCCAATAATTGCCCGTTTCCCTTTCATGAGTGTGTGTGACCTCCACTTTTCATCTGCCGAGAGAAGAGAACGTGTCCCGTATGATTTATATCTCGGCAGTTCTTTAATTTTGTCTGCTCTCTCAGCTCTCCGACACATTGTAAATTTCCCGAACTTTTCATTATTCTGCCCGGGATGGGACTGTGGAGAGCAGATTTACAGCGCAAATAAACATCCAGTCTATAAAGCGTGTTACCGATTGTGCGCCTGTCAGCGGACTCGCTCTGTGCCCAATTACTATTCCTGCCGCATGTCTGTGCTGGATGTGCATGCCATGTGTGACACGCGTGTGTCGCTATCCTCTGCTGTGCGTCTCCTCAATGCTGTGACATGTATCACACATGACTGGTACACAGAAGAGAGACACATATCAGAAGATAATGTTGCACGTGTGTCACACATGGTGTATACATATTCTTCTGATATGTGTGTCTCCTCTATGTACATGTCGTATGACACACGTGCAGCATTATCTTCTGATGTGTCTCTCCTCTATGTACATGTCATATGACACACGTGCAGCATTATCTTCTGATGTGTCTCTCCTCTATGTACATGTCGTATGACACACGTGCAGCATATCTTCTGATGTGTCTCTCCTCTATGTACATGTCATATGACACACGTGCAGCATTATCTTCTGATGTGTCTCTCCTCTATGTACATGTCGTATGACACACGTGCAGCATTATTTTCTGTGGTGTTTCTCCTCTATGTACATGTCATATGACACACGTGCAGCATTATCTTCTGATGTGTCTCTCCTCTATGTACATGTCGTATGACACACGTGCAGCATATCTTCTGATGTGTCTCTCCTCTATGTACATGTCATATGACACACGTGCAGCATTATCTTCTGATGTGTCTCTCCTCTATGTACATGTCGTATGACACACGTGCAGCATATCTTCTGATGTGTCTCTCCTCTATGTACATGTCGTATGACAGACGTGCAGCATTATCTTCTGATGTGTCTCTCCTCTATGTACATGTCATATGACACACGTGCAGCATTATCTTCTGATGTGTCTTTCCTCTATGTACATGTCGTATGACACACGTGCAGCATTATCTTCTGATATGTGTCTCTCTTCTGTGTACATGTCATGTGTGACACACGTACGGCATTATCTTCTATGTACATGTCATGTGTGATACGTGCGCCATTATCTTCTGATATGTGTCTCTCCTCTGTGTACATGTCGTATGACAAACATGCAGCATTATCTTCTGTGTACATGTCATGTATGACACACGTGTGGCATTATCTTCTGATGTGTCTCTCCTCTATGTACATGTATGACACACGTGCAGCATTTATCTTCTGTGTACATGTCATGTTTGACACACGTACGGCATTATCTTCCGATATGTATCCTCTATGTACATGTTGTATGACACACGTGTGGCATTATGCTGTGTTGTAGGGGCCACGGTACGCTGGAGGTAATATAGGAGCAGAACGGAGAGCGTGATTATCGCGGCTTTAGCCGGGTTTGGCCTGTTTATTGCAGATGGCTGATCTATATGAAGCAGCTGCTTCTACTCTGCCTGCTGCGTGTTCATGAAGCGTGATCATTTCTTTCACATTCTAGATGTGGATTAAAGGGGAAATCTAATGGTTTGGGGTAAGTTAGGGGGTTTTTTTTTGTTTTTTTATTATAGGGTTTTGAATCATTTTAGGGTCATTTTATAGCTTTTTTTTTTTTTGTATGTGTACATTTCTCTTACAAATAAACACTTTCATCCCCAAGAAATGAATCCCAGAGCACTAGGGGGTAACCAAAGACGGCGTAGCAGGCAATGCTTGCTTTGCGGCTCTCTTTCTCTGACTGAAACCTCCCAAAAACTGGATCACCGCATCCATCTGTAAAAGGGGCCAATTGCAGCATAGCCGGGGACGAATCAATGTGTGGAAAAGGAGACCAGAGCTTCACCTACTGACCGGATAGAAGACGACATCCTATCAATGTGCTAAAAAGAGAACGTTATTTTTGGCTTCAACAAAATTAGAAAACTGATATTCATTCTCCTGAAATTGGAAAGGTCGGATTTCCTCCATTCCTGGAAATACAGAAATATACATAAAGCCAGCGAGGGAACGCTCTGCAATGATTTCCACCATCAAGTAGCTACGTGTGTATAGAGGGGAAAGATCTCACCATCATATCTAATATCCCGGGGACGTAGATATAGAATATAGGAGGAAGTGTAGATATATATCTGGCCATGCTTCCCTCATTGTGAGGCTGAGCCTCCCTTGTGTCTGATATAACATAGGAGGGATCTCGGGGTGTAGATATATATCTGGCCATGCTTCCCTCATTGTGAGGCTGAGCCTCCCTCGTGTCTGATATAACATAGGAGGGATCTCGGGGTGTAGGTATATATCTGGCCATGCTTCCCTCATTGTGAGGCTGAGCCTCCCTCGTGTCTGATATAACATAGGAAGGATCTCGGGGTGTAGATATATATCTGGCCATGCTTCCCTCATTGTGAGGCTGAGCCTCCCTCGTGTCTGATATAACATAGGAGGGATCTCGGGGTGTAGGTATATATCTGGCCATGCTTCCCTCATTGTGAGGCTGAGCCTCCCTCGTGTCTGATATAACATAGGAGGGATCTCGGGGTGTAGATATATATCTGGCCATGCTTCCCTCATTGTGAGGCTGAGCGTCTCTCTCGTGTCTGATGAGAAATTTGGAGGCCATTTATATGTTGATGAGGCTGCTGCTCTGCATCAAGTGGATGTTTGGGGTCTTGTCATGTTTTCACCTGCTGCATGCTTTGCTGAGGCTCTCCTGGGGGACCTCCAGCTGTCATGTGCGGGGTGGAGGAAATGAGGGCAAGGGGTCTGGGGTGGGAGGGGACGGGACCCTCTGGCACGTGGCAGGCTCAGCTGCTCCCATTGACCTAATGAATTGAACAAGTGCTTATATCCCCCTGGAGACCGTCCGTGTCGGCTGCGGTAACTGATGTGTCGTGACGCGTGCCGCGCGCTGTCTGCAGCTGCCTCGTTATCTGGTTGTTTAACGACGGCTCATAATGACCAGCTAACGGGTCTCTTACCAGCACTGTGTCAGTATGTGACCACCAGCCGCTTCTGTACAACAGGTGTCACCTCTGTGTATACAGACCGGTCCACTATGGGGAGGTAATATGGCAAAATCTCAGGGGTGGCGGTCTGGCCAATCTCTACACAGTATGGACATGATATAAAGCCATGGGGGTGTTGTAGTCGGGGTGTACAGGTGGTATGGTGATATTGTAGTCGGGGTGTACCGGTGGTATGGTGATATTGTAGTCGGGGTGTACAGGCGGTATGGTGATATTGTAGTCGGGGTGTACAGGTGGTATGGTGATATTGTAGTCGGGGTGTACAGGTGGTATAGTGATATTGTAGTCGGGGTGTTCAGGTGGTATTGTAGTCGGGGTGTACAGGCGGTATGGTGATATTGTAGTCGGGGTGTACAGGCGGTGTGGCAGTATTGTAGTCGGGGTGTACAGGCGGTTTGGCAGTATTGTAGTCGGGGTGTACAGGCGGTATGGTGATATTGTAGTCGGGGTGTACAGGCGGTGTGGCAGTATTGTAGTCGGGGTGTACAGGCGGTTTGGCAGTATTGTAGTCGGGGTGTACAGGCGGTATGGTGATATTGTAGTCGGGGTGTACAGGCGGTGTGGCAGTATTGTAGTCGGGGTGTACAGGCGGTTTGGCAGTATTGTAGTCGGGGTGTACAGGCGGTATGGTGATATTGTAGTCGGGGTGTACAGGCGGTGTGGCAGTATTGTAGTCGGGGTGTACAGGCGGTTTGGCAGTATTGTAGTCGGGGTGTACAGGCGGTATGGTGATATTGTAGTCGGGGTGTACAGGCGGTGTGGCAGTATTGTAGTCGGGGTGTACAGGCGGTTTGGCAGTATTGTAGTCGGGGTGTACAGGCGGTATGGTGATATTGTAGTCGGGGTGTACAGGCGGTGTGGCAGTATTGTAGTCGGGGTGTACAGGCGGTTTGGCAGTATTGTAGTCGGGGTGTACAGGCGGTATGGTGATATTGTAGTCGGGGTGTACAGGCGGTGTGGCAGTATTGTAGTCGGGGTGTACAGGCGGTTTGGCAGTATTGTAGTCGGGGTGTACAGGTGGTATGGTGGTATTGTAGTCGGGGTGTACAGGTGGTATGGTGATATTGTAGTCGGGGTGTACAGGTGGTATGGTGGTATTGTAGTCGGGGTGTACAGGCGGTATGGTGATATTGTAGTCGGGGTGTACAGGCGGTGTGGCGGTATTGTAGTCGGGGTGTACAGGCGGTGTGGTGGTATTGTAGTCGGGGTGTACAGGTGGTATGGTGATATTGTAGTCGGGGTGTACAGGCGGTGTGGCGGTATTGTAGTCGGGGTGTACAGGCGGTGTGGTGGTATTGTAGTCGGGGTGTACAGGTGGTATGGTGATATTGTAGTCGGGGTGTACAGGTGGTATGGTGATATTGTAGTCGGGGTGTACAGGCGGTGTGGTGGTATTGTAGTCGGGGTGTACAGGTGGTATGGTGA